TTTAGCAAACAAGTACCACCAATGAACAATGTGTGAGAGGTCACTGCTGGCTCTTCTCAGTCATAAATAGTCATTTTCTTTGTGTTGAATCAAATTTTAAACGAAATAATATTCCATGGAACTTTGATTTTCAAGTACCAATACTAATATTGGTAAGACTCAACTATCTTCAAGATTCATAAGGTATTTTTCCAAGTAGTATTTTAAAACCTAGTAAGTCTGTCCAGCCCCTTGAATACCTAATACAGGTGTATTGTTTCATCAAAAGATCAGAGCGATAGCCCTGATTGTCTTTGCCTCTTCTATAATCAAGAGTTCAAACCCCTGACTTGAACAAATTTTTGGTAAGACTTTGAAAATAAACATCAGCTACATACCTAGGGGTTTTTAGGTGCAGAAAGTCTGTATAAAGGTAGACCATCTCAAATGTGGGGACACAGAAAATGTTCTGTGTGAGGCAAGAGCAAAACTACTGCTGTCATTGTACACTTAGAAGATCTGAGCATCCTTTATGCAGACTAATGCAAGGTAGTAACTACTGGTCTAGGTGGCTCATCATGCTGTCCATAATACAGATAGACAAGAGACACATTAATATGGCCCAGGGTGACTGAAGAGAAGGCTTCAAATGGTATTTTAAAAAGTTCTGGTTCCTAAAGGCTTGCCACTTCAGTTACTAAATTCAGTGAGGGTTAGGAGATCATATTTTGACCTTAAATAAATAATGGCAATTTTTGACTGTTCCTGTTATAGGTAATAATGAATGATCTGTATTGGCTCTACAGTGGTCAGGTGGTTTTTTGGGTACTCCTAGACTTTATTAAAAATATACTAATATTTCACAGTTGTTGATGGGTGATGGGAAGGGGGAGTGCAGCAAGGGAAGAAGAGAAGCAGCCTTAAACAACATATTTACCCGGCTGAGTTCCCTAAAACCCAGGCCTTGTGCAGGTAGTGGGATGTGTAATGGGATTGTTACTGACACAGTCTTCACAGGACTGCCCTGCTGTAACACAGATCCCTTTGTTAATAGAGCAGCTTTAATTAAAAACTACAGAGTTCACGATGAAATTGTTTTGACCCTTAAAGTTAGATTTGACTAATTCAGTGACTTCCCAGAAAAAGAATTCCTCTTGGGAACTGCATAGCAGAGTTTGGAAATACATCTGAGGATTAATTTGTTACATGAAACTGATTGCAGAAGAGGCAAAGACGCGATCCTGGTGAATCTCAAATAGCTCAGATAAGCAGAGGTGAGGTGCAAAGGAGGAACTCTGGCTGAGCTTCCCTGGGGTGTTCTTTCCTTGCTGGGGGTTGTTTGCAGAGAAGCTGAAGTGCTGTAACAGCCTCAAGCTCCACTCAGTGATGTCGCCTCCTCTTTTTCTGTGGCAGCTCGCTCATGTCCTCTGCAAAACTGAGAGTAGCTTAAGGCCATCATTTCATGCATGACTTGGTAAATTGTGCAAGGAAGAGCACTGCCAAACGAGGAGCCGAGCCAGTTTTCAATATGAGGGCCATCTGTGACAAAATGTTTTAGCAAGTTTGAAAACAATTGAGTTCTTTCCCACTTTTACTTGGAGTTCATTTAGCATGTAAGTAACTTTGTAGCCTCCCAAGAGAACACTTACGTTACTGTATCCTTGTTTGCTACGCGTTGTGTTTTTGTGGAGTCAGGTGGTTTCATTTCAGATTTGATCCTGTGTGCTACCAAAAAATGACTTTGCATCAATGTCACTTTTGATTCTTGCTGGAGACACTTCTCAAGGTAGATGAAACTCAGATATTTGTGGCAGATAAGATTTGTATCAATAAATTGCTACTGGTTACAGCAGCAATGCCTAAACTTAAAAGTAGTTTGTTGCTGAAAGTGGAAACATTTTAAAATTCAGGATGGATTCTAAGTGAGCCTCTCTCCCTTAACCTGGCCAGTTACCTGAAATCTCCCATTACCATTTTGCTTCACAAAATGTGAAGTTGTGTGTAGTGGAGTTTCCATGTAACAAGAATCATTGAGCAGATCTACAATTTGTTCTACAGATCTCTTGATTTGTCTTAAGCTTCTGCAATGAAGACTACCTCTATTGAAAGCAGAGTGGCAGTAATGTGATATCAAATGTGTTCACATGTTTTTCTTGACTAATTTTGGTGTCACTTCCTGAGAACAATATTTTTTTTAAAGGGTGATGGTACCTACCTTACTTAACAGCACTCTTTCTAAAAGCAAGAGGAAAATTATAGAGTTGTTTCCCTGAATTATAGGGACTAAATTTGACTTTTAATTTAGATGTCTCACATGTCTGAGGTTAAGCACCTTTCAGCTGGTACAGAAAAGGAAATGGAGAGAGAGAGATACAGACACAGTGTCACTCACTGAGTCAGCAACAGAGACAGAAATCTGCCTTGTGCTAGACCATCAGACCCCACTTTGGAAACATTGCTTCTACTGGAAAATTTGGCTGCTTGTTTCTGTTGACAAGTGTTCTCTGCAACAAGTAATTTTCAGAAAAAAGAAACCTTCTTGTGATTTTAATACTATTTTAGGAGGAACTGAGTAAGAAGAAAGTTCCTGACCTTTAAATGCATGTTTTATGTAGCAGGTGGGACTGGTAGGGAAACCCCAGCTGGAAAATATCCTCAAAAGTGAAGGATTCCAAAACTTCTTGAACTTGTGTTGTAGCTGCTTTTAGATAAGTGCAGAGCTGCCCATATGGAGAAGGCAGTCACTTAGGGATCAATCCATCTGCCTTTCAGAATAAATGTTCTCCATGAAAACACTTACTCTCACAAGTGCAGGGATGTAGTATTTGTTACACACAAATTACAAGGGTTAGACACTTAAATGCAGGTTTTGTTTTCTTGTTTCTGCCGACTGTAGTTGACTTCTTAGTGTATTTGCAGCTCCTTAACTTCAAATTAAACTGCGCAAATATACCTAGAAATGGACTGTGAATGTCTGTTAAAGCAGCAGTCTAATTTTGCAGCATGTACTCAATTCTGTAGGCAGTAATCTGCTTGAATACAGTGAGACTTTTGGGAGGACTGCATAGTACTGCCAAGATTAGTCCCACTGTGTTGGTGCAAACTTTTAATGTTTTATTTTAATTCTAATTTCTTAAATTTGTACTGGTTCATCGTGATATTTCACAACTTTTTACAAGGGTAATTGAGGAAAAATATTTGAAATAATGCTAAACTATTTCTAAATTTAGATCGATGAAAATCATATAGCTCTGACATTAGAAAACCTGGGTATTTCTTATATTGGTCTCACATAATTAGATTCAGTCAATGTATGTATGTGTTATACACATACATTGTATAATAAGTAGTTTCTGAAGACACCATGTCACTTTTAATATTTTAAACATATGCTAGTGTTTGAGTCACACTTTTTTCACCATTGTGAATTTTGCTTGCATTTGAGGATCTTGAATCTCTGTTTTTGCTGCTGTTCCAACAAATCTGCTGAATGATAACACTGACATAACCCTTACACAAGGATGGAGCTGCAACCTCATCTCCAGTAACCGTGACAAACGTGGCTGTAATATTTACAGGGGAAAAGTGTGCATCAAGGGTGAAATGCAGAGATGCATTAAAACATCAAACATTTAAAAAAAAAAAAAAAAGGGCAGTTGTAGCTGCTTAATTGCTTTCCTTAGAAAGACTAATGCAATGTCTGAGGAAGTAATCCCTAAATAAGTTAGGAGGTGAGATTTTTCAAAGGACAAAAACCCAGGCATAGACCTATTGGGGAATTCTATGAAGAGACTGTCAAGAGCAGTAAAGCTGATGTGTTGTTAAATGTCTGTGTGAGAGATTTCTAGGTGTTGAGTGTCTTAATGAGGTGAAAAGCAAACTTCAGTGATTGGATGCTTGGCATTTATCCTGTTTGAACCCAAAAGTTTCCTCTGGCATAGGAGTGGGTCTGTCAAAATGTGTGATTTTGCCCTGCTCTGCAGTGTTCAGTGTAGAAGTGCATATGGCTGTAAAGGATGGAACAGGAGGAGGCCATCCCCTGTGTGGTACTTAGCTGGTACATTCATTTGTGCTAAACCAAATAAGTTGTGGCAGCTGGAGCAGGATGGTGGAAAGGAGGAGAAAAAAGCAGGAGAGCCATGGAGAGAGGGAGGAGGCACAGTAGTGTGGTGGAGCAAAGTATTGGTGGGGTGTGATGCGGGCTGGGAGGCAAGAACTGCTCAAAGGCCAGGTGGGTCTGGCACCACGACTGTGCTGGGTGAGTGGGAGATGGAGAAACAGGCACAAGGCTTTGGAATGGGTGAAGCCGAAGGGGTGATGGAACAGCAGGGATGCCCAGATGGAGCCAACTTCTACAGAGCTTTTTTTGTGTATTTGGCTGCGGTCTGGAGCTTTTAGGGCTGCTTTTAGTGTGTGAGCTGCTGCTCCACATTCATTCCCCCTGAGCCCCACGGCAGGGATTTCTGGTTGACAGCGTCTGCATCAAGGGAAAGGACAACACTCTGGGGTTTCCCGGGCTACCAGCCTTTCGCTGGGGGATGCTAATGCGGGCAGAGCGCTGGAGTTTGCCACTCCTGAGCCCCAAGCCTGGTGTTCTCGCCGCTCCCCCAGATCCGACACCCCCTCCCCCGATTGCCTGCGTCTGACTCATTCGCCGGTGCCTGTGCGAGAGCAGAGCGGGGCGGGAGAAGCGGGGGGGAAGAGCCTTCAAAGTAGCCGCGGCTGGTCTGGGTTTGACAAGGCGGCCGTGTGAGCTGTGCCCCTGCCAGCGCAGGGCGGCGGTGCCGGGGGCGGCGGAGCGGAGCGGCCCCGGCGCGCACCCGCAGCGCCGCGCCCGCGGCCCCGGGCGGATCCCGCCGCTCCTCCGGGAACCGCCGCTGCCAGTTCCGAGGAGCTCAGAGCAGCGCGGGGGGCTCCGCGCCTGCCGTCCTGGGGAACTGCTGCGGCAGCATTGCGATTGCCCCTTTGAACAGCGAGTAAAAAAAAAAGGGGGGGGGGGGAGAAGAGAGAAGAAGAGAGGGGAGAAAAAAAAAAAGATGAAGACGCTTAAATGCCTCCTGCCAAAAGTAAAGAGCGAATCTCAGTTGCGATGGCTCTGCTAAAACTTGATCATGCGGGATTTCAAGCGATAAAAAAGGGCTGCCAGGCTGCTATTTTCTGCGGCGGGAACAAGTTGCAGGATGAAATCCAGGCACTGAGGGACCTATTTTCCACTTCATTGTTTGCGAAGGAATCTACTGAAATGACTTTGAGGATCTTTAAACTGGAACTATGTGGAGGGAGAATGCAGTAAGTATTGCCTTTCTGGGGAGCACCGGTACGAGCCGAGGAGTTGGGCAGGGGCGCGGAGGCTCCGAGAGGCGCGCAGGGATGTCAGCGGTGCTGGATCCCGCGGATCCGGGCTTGGCTCTTAGTTCCCAGCCGGCACCGAGGACCAGTTAGGGAATGCCGGCTGCCTTTGCCTGGCGCGCCAGCGTCCTACATTTAGCCGGGGCTGCTTGAAGAACTATCCTTATGCATATTTACTGGAAATAGTGAATGGAAATCAAAGCAATTGGGCTTCCCGTGGCGGGTTCAGCTAGAGTGTCTCCCTGGGTTTGTTTATGATAAATTGGGAATGAAGCTGTTCCGTTTCAAGAGCGAAAAGAGCTTCATCCCGCACCGCTTTAGCTGTGTTCCAGGTTATGCTCGTTTCGAACCTGACAAGAAAACTCCTGCCCTTGATCATGTGAATTAGTTTGCTTCTAGCTGCCCTTTCCAGGTCGGACGTCTCTTCCCTTAGAGCTCAAACCCATCTATTTCACTTGGAAGCAGACGGGCAGTTGGGAGCCCAGGATTTTCCTGACCTGGATAGGGATGAGAGGGACGTTTCCCGGACGGCTGCGGGCTCTTAGCAAAGCGCTGAAATGTATTTCTAAGCGAAGGCGGAGAAGGGGGGAACTTTAGAGCGCAGTCACTTTATTTCTGTTCACATGAGGCTGAAGTATACGTTTCTTCCCCCCTGTCAACCCCGCAACCTGACTAACGCCTTCTCCCCGTCTCTGTCCCGTTCCCCGTGTCCAGCCCCCCCTCGCCTGTCTCCCTGTGCGCGTAGCTGCCCTCCCGGGATGCGATGTCGCCCGCAGGCTGTGGCGGGGATCACGCGTGCGGCCGGCGGCGCGGAGGCCGCCCCTGAGCCCGGGCAGCGAGGGGCGCGACATGCCCGCGGTCGCGACATGCCCTGCACCGACAGCAGCACCGGCAGCGACACCTGCGGCCCCTCCGGCTCCTCCCGCCGCTCCGTCTCCTGAGGCGCTCGGTACGTGCGGCCGCGCCCGCCGGGGGGCGCCCGAGCGCCGCGGCGCGGGGAGCTGCGGGGGGGGGGGGGTCTGTCGCGATAGTCGCGGCTCCCCCGGGACTGTCGGGAGGGACGCGAGGCGCTCGGGTTGGGTTTTCTGCCGCGTTCCGCGCTGCGGCGGTGGGTGGGAGCCCGGCCCGCAGTGCAACAGCGCAGGGGCGCTGATGTGCGCGGGTAAGCGGTCTGTGGAGCGCTCGTCTCCTCGCCCGCCCCGGGAGGAGGTGATGGTGCTGCCAGCCCTTGTCTCGGTGTGCGTTTCGAGCAGCAGGCGGCTCTGACTGATGATGGAGATGGGGCTGGCGGGATGAGAGGGGAGATGTGAGAAGTGCCACCCCTGATTGGACAGCCCCGCCAGTGTGTTCTGTGTGACGCTTCGCAACAAGCTTGGTTTTATGTGGCACAGGGACTCCCTTCTTGCAGCTTGCGGAGGAGAGCCAGTTATGGGGGTGGAAATCCCTCGGGGCACAGAAACAGAGGGGGAGATCTTGCGGAGTCAGACCCGCTCTCCCTCTTCTCCCTCCTTTAGGTAGTTCAGATCACTTCTGTGCCTCATCTCTCTCCCCATCCTACTCTGTCTATATTCAGCCCTCTACAGAGATTCAGTGAAGACATGAGGTAACCAGTGCAGTGATGCTCATTTATGGAACACCCTCCCCTTCAACACCAGGGACAACTTTGTGTCCGAGATCAGCAGTTCTGAGATGCTCAAGTCAATGCTGCATAAAAGGAGGGAGAAGAATTAAGATGGAATATTGTGCTTCTGAATTCGTTCCAGAAATGCAGTGTAGGCTTCCTTGAGCAGCAGCTGCCTAGGAGAGATCTTCAGAAATAAACCAGCATGATTTTGGGATGCTGTGAGATGTATGGAATATGTGGAGTGGGGTTTCCAGCAGACCTCTGGCTCACTTGCCTCATTTTGAGCTAAAGTACCTCTCCCTGTTAGACCGTGACTAAATTTTAAACAGATGTTCAGGATAAAGGAATATAGATTTCTGTTTTACCTGTTTTAGTGCAGCAAGGTTAAAAAGAAGGATGAAAATGTGGTGGTTTTTTTTTTTTTTTTTTAAATTGTCAGTAATTTCATTTTTTATTGGCTATCCAGGAAGAATGTTAATGGATCTTTTCTCTGAACTTGTGCTATATTTTTTGCTTTGCTTGTGGGAGACCAGCTGTGATACTGTCATTATCAAGCCAACTTTCTGAGGGGATACAAGAGGCTTAAACTGGAACTAAGGTGAAGAATGCATTATAAAAAGCTGCTAAAGTTTGCATTGTGCCCAGATGCTCTCTGTTTAAAACCTTCATTGGAGCTCTACAGTATATATTTCTTTCCTCTGTGTTTTTCTTATACGATGTGATCGCTTTTACAGGGGACAAAGCTGGCAAAGATGAGGAAAATTGGCTGTGCTCTCCTGGTACTCCAAGCTCTTCTGGCGCCTTTGGATCTTGTACGTGGAGCAGAGAAAAATTATCCCATCCTGAACATTGCAGTGATTCTGGGAAGGACCAAGTACATAACAGAGAGAGATATCAGAGCTCTCTGGACCAGGGAAATGTCAGCAGACCTGACTGTTGATGTCAATGTAGTGACCCTTCTCGTGAACCAGACTGACCCCAAGAGCATCATAACACATGTTTGTGACTTGATGTCAGGCACCAAGATCCATGGAGTGGTTTTTGGAGATGACACCGATCAGGAGGCAGTAGCTCAGATTTTGGATTTTATTTCATCTCAGACTTCTATTCCAATTCTTGGAATTCATGGCGGGGCCTCCATGATAATGGCAGATAAGGTAGGAAAAGTTATTACAAGCTTTTACTAGTTAATATACTTCATTGTGTTGGTCTCTATCATGAGTAATCAGTACAAGCAGTTCAAAAAATATGTTTCTAATTATCTCTCTGTACTTCAAAAAACAGAAAAAATATGCATAGCAGTATCCTTGTTGATTGCTCTTCACATACTTGGAAATACTTTGGGGTTCATGCCTGAAACTCATCTTTTTGACACTATAAAAGCAATCCTAATGAAATTTTAGTCTCCAGCACATTAAATGATGGTCAGCCTAGAAATTTTAAGAGCAAATATGGCACATGGATGTAAAAAAACCCTCAAAATAGTAGGTTCGTGAAATAATTTTACATCTTATCCCCAAAATCATAAACAGGTGTTCTGTGGTGCTTACAAGAAATAGCAAGCGATAGACCTGAATGTGTCTGGAAACAACAGTAGTAACAGGACAATAATATTAAACCAGACTTCAGTGATCCACTACAGTCTATAAATTAAGTAGTCTTGCACACTTGAACTAGCTCTTGCATTCCCTATGTTTATGAAGTTAGATTTTTGTTAATTGGGTACTTCTACTTTCCTACTGTAGTCCATGCAAACCCGTAAAGGGGTTGCCTGAAATCTGGAGGTAATGACAGATTTGTTTTGTTGGAAAACATCTCTTTATGTAATCTTTTGTGAGATTGGAATGACAGAAGTGACTCATGTCTCAAGTTCTTTAATGCTGTAACAATTTTGTGGAAATTCTTGCTGGCACTGCAGCACTGATGTTGTGTGGTGATCACAGCTGCTCCTGAAGCAGGTGCTTAGCACCAGGCAGGGCTGAGCTCTCTGGTGTGGATTGCTGAAAGTCAGAAGAGCTCCCACTGTGGTGTAAAATAGAGATTTCAGGTGTGGAAAGTCACTGGTTTTCCAGTACATGAGGCTTTTCAATGTTAATCGCAATTTATTTCCTGATATTTCCATCCTTTAGGATTTCTTATTAATGGAATATTATTGCTTCTCATAAATGACTTTCAAATAGGAAAGAGCTCTCTGAATACATCTGAAAAGGAAGTGGACCAGACGTATTATTTTGTGACTTGAGGGAGAAAAAGAAGCAGGAAAGTGACAGTGATAAGTTGTGATTGAGGAATCAGCTTTGAACTTTGGAAACTCTTTACCTCTGGAAAAGACTTTTTTTTCCACGGGGATAAGAGATCTGTTTCTCTTGGTATTTTGAATGGTCTTACTTTTAAAACTTATGTCATACAAGGAGAGGACAGTAAGTGCTGAATTATGGCAGAGATAATGTAACAATGGCCTTGACATCTTGATTTATATAGAAAGATCATTACAGTCAATGCTACTGTCTTAGATACAATTGCAGTGACCAAGTTACAGAGGAAATTATTTCATGTGCTTTTAAACTACTGCACAGATTTACTTGCCTTTATAAAGCCGGGTTTAAATGTATTTTGGACTTCTATTGGTACATATTTCACTCACCTGTCTCTGTCAGTGTAAGAACACTTAAAGGTCTCAGCCAATGCTGAATCAACTTCCCCACTCAGCAGATGCAGGATGTTACTGTTACAGATCTATTTTTTACTTTTATATAGAAAATGAATAGACTATCTTTCTTTTCTGAGTGGGTTACTACTGTACTTATTGTAGGCTAATATTGTCATTAGCTTATTGCTGTCTTTGATTTCTAGGGATTATCACAGTTTGCTGATGAAACTTTTGTGATGAAATTTGGCTTCCAAGATTTACACTTGAGAAATCAAAATTGTCTTTTGTTTGTTAAAACAATCTAACAGAGCTGTCTCCAGTAACTTGAACTGGCTGAAGGAATTGTTTGTTCATGTAACTGGAAATGCTTTAATTTTGAACTTAGCCCGTGCAATGTCTTGCAACTGGGTTTGGAACATCGCAGTAATGAGACTTGCGTGTGTCACTCAATTAACCACTCATTTAGGAATGAATTCCTGGGAGCTGAAGGTGAAATTCTCTGTGCTGTCATAAAGGCAGGGGAGATGGAAGTCTGAGGGAAAGGGTCTGCAAATGCGAAGTCTTTCAAGTCAATGTCAGAATTTCAGCAGAAACAGATGAATGTTGGCTGAATTGTGAAGGTTATTAGTGTTTAAAGTGTTCTGTTTTGTCTCATGCATTGGGATGTGCAAAAAAAGGTGGTCCCACTCCTGCCTGTGAATGCAGTTCTCTGACACTTTATTAAGGCCATTTCATTTCTATCCTTATCATATGTGTTCTGTGCCAGGTGGCTGTTATATGATGCTTAACTGTCCTAAGCTGAACTAAACTGAAGGCACAGATATGAGAACTCATCTCTAATGCTCTGTGCTGCTGAAGACTTTACTGCATGACTCAGAGGAGATAAGCTTGCCATATTCTCTATGGCTAATAAATACTATGTCAATGTGAATCTGGTGTGATGAGCCATGCCTTTAAAAAATAAGAAGTTGCTCTAGGTTTCTAAAGATGAGAGATTCCCACATGTGGAGTTTGCAGTGATTAATGCAGGACATGCAGCTCTTGAAGCACCGAGTCCCTGGGTGAACACCTGCAGCGAGTGCTGTCTAGTCTAGACTGCCTCCTTGGCTGGCCCAGCTGGCTCCTCTCTGCTTCAGTTTGCTCAGTTTGCCTGCACCATCTGAGGAGAGACATTGCATGATTCAGACAATGAAAATAGGCATGTGAAGCCAACAAAACCAGAATGTTTTCTGAACCTGGCTGATCTGCTGTCACCTGACGTCAGTTGTCGAAGCTCTACCAACAAACCAATGTGGCACTCGAGGGTGTACAGCACCTACCCGATCCCAACTGTGCTGTAGAGATACCCTTTGGACAGTGCCACATGCTCTGCCTCCAGCTGACTTTGTCACCTGCTGCTGGCAGGAACTCTCCTGCCAATGAACTGCTCCTTGGCTTTGGTCCCCAGTTCTGCCACAGACTTCAAACATATTCAGATGTGGGATAGTCTATTGAAACAAGATGAGAATTGTGTGGGGCATCTGTGCCAACCTGCTGTGCATCAGCATCCCTTGGAGGATGCTGCAAACAGGCTGGCTGTTTATTCATCTTGTATCTCTTGACATTTGAGAGATCTCAACACAAACACTACTTAGGAACTGTTTTCTGACTTCAGTGTTTTGTTTCAAACACAGTTACCTCTGTTTCACCACACACTATAATTATAATGATAGCATTTGTCATACTTTTTGAAAACAGGACATCGTGGTTAGTTCTGTGTCAATAGGAGGAAAAAAAGCCCCTACATATTTTAAATATCCAGTGTACAGGAATACTTGATGTCCTTGAACCACACTGCTTTTGCGTATTGCAGAATTAAATCTTTCTAACTTCTCATTAGAAGTCTTTCTGAAAGACATAGCTTGAAGCATTTTATTGTTGTGGAAACACAGTTACAGTGCTAGTCAAAAGGCATTAAAGGTGAGGGTAATTTTCCAGAAGGGCTATTACGAAGTGATATTTTTTGGAACGGCTCTGGAAGTGTTATGCAAACTAAATAATTGCTTTTTGAAAAGATAAGTACTATATATTATATTATAATTCTAGAAGAGCAATGGAGGTTAGAAGGGATTGCTGTAGGTTTTCTAACCCAGCCCTGGCTCAGTGATGAGCTGACATGGAATTCAGATCTACTCAAGTTTTAAATATCTCCATGGATGTACATACACCACAGCCTTTCTGGGCAATCTGTTTCAGTACTTAACCTTTCTCACCATGCAAATATTTTCATTTTATCTCATTAGAATTTCCCTTGATACCACAGACTCTTGTTCTTTTGCTGTGAGTCTGAGTCCAGCTCTCTCAGTGTAGTTGTAGGCTGCAATTACACCGCTCCTTACCCGTTGCTTTCCTGGGGGAAAAGAGTTCCCTTGGCCCTTTCTTGCACCTCTAGACCTCTGGACTCGCTTGGATATATTGATGTCTTGTGTGGGGGGACCAAAACGGGACAAAGGGCTGCAGATATGACCTCAGGAGTACGGGAGAGGGGAGTAGTCCCTCCCCTGGAGCAGCTGTGCTCCTGCTAACGCAGCCTGGTTAGGCTCTGCTGCCGGAAGGGTGCACTGCTGACTCATGTTCAGCCCGTGTTGGGCCCCCCATGTCCTATTATATTTAATAAAAAAAAAAATCTAACTGTGAATAAGCAGTGGGGGAAACTGCACTTTTAAGTCTCACTTGTTCTTTTGGTGGATATTTTTCAGGTACTTTACTGAAATACTTGCAGATGTTTGCATTACGTGTTTTTTTCAGCTCATTTGTAGGTATGGCTTGGGATTGCTCTGTTTTTCCTCATTCCTGAGATGCAAAAACTGTGCTGCACTTGTGCAAAACAGAGCTCTGAGCCCAGCCTTGTAACTGTGATCAGAGCCCACCCGGACTCCTGGCTCAGGTACTGGGCATTTATTCTCCCTTATCCTTGCGTGCCTTTGTCCACTGCTCCTAAAGTTCCTTCACAAATCTTACACCTTCTTTGCCAATAGCACAGTGACCATCTAAAAAACCAAATGGGTTCAAAACTCACACTTTACATTTGCACTGTGCATAGGTGTGCTTCAATTCTTGTGCTTTCAAAACCGTGGTGATGAATGGCAGGGTGTGTGTGTGTGGTGGTGGATATGTTTTTTATTGTGGAATCTTTTCTGGAGGTCATACTCGATGCAATGTGCTCATCAATTCCCACATCTTCCATATGTGTTGTGTATAGATTTCTGTCCAGCTCATTTAGTTGGCTTGTAAGAGCAGTTCTGTATTTTTTCTTATAGAAAGTCCTTAAATTTATGGTTTTCTATAACAACAACTCATTCCTGCCCTTCCTGATAACTGATATTAGCATGTGTATGGCACTGTACTTCTGAGCATGATACTGAGTTTGACTTTGTTACTGCCAAAGACTGGATGATTACACTGTAGGTTGAGAAATACTTGAGTGCAAAAATACCAGTATTATTATAACTAGTGTTTCAGGTCTAG